AAAGTGGGGCCACCTCGTGACTCCAGTAAGCTGCTGGGAGCGGGGCACACGGCTCAAACAGACACCCAAACACCTGTTGTTCTTGTTAAGCAAAAACAAGTTAATAGTCACAGCAAAACCATGAAAGAAAACCACAAGTGACCTAAGGATTTCTGACTCACGCCCACGGCCTGGGTACTTTGTGACATTCCACCAAAAGCCATCAGCCACCTGCGAGGCCCTGAAAACTGCTAATCAGCAGTCCTTTTGTCCCTCTCTCAGGGTAATTACCCATGTGTGCTGTGCCCCCAGATGGCTCTTGCCTTCAGAAAGAGAAAAAAAAAAGAACAAAAAAACCACCTTCCCTCTAAGCCCAAGTGACTAAGTCAAACTGGCAGGGACCCTCCCTCCTGCTGTAATTGTGGGAAACCTCTTGCAAAACAGTTTTCTCTGCCAGATAAACTCTGTCTGTTCCCAGCAGCCAAGTGCCACACCCCAGAGAGCGGGTGAGAGATTTCCTTTGAGAAACCTCAGCAAACACCAAGCAGGGTCCCTGCTCAGTGCCCTGGAGGAGCTGTGAGGAGTGACACCCTGACAAGGACTGTTCTCACAGAAATCTGGCACTAGAGAAACCAATAGGTGTCCTGCAGCTCAAACCCTCACACGACAGCCTCCTGTCGGCAGAGGGTGAGCCACACGCCAGGCACCGGCAAGGCCCGTTCCCTGCATGAGAAGGAAAGGGTGGCCAGCTCCGGTGACACAACTCTGTCCCTGGGTCACACTGGCACACCAGGGACTGGGCCACAAGCCGAAGGCTACTGGACATTCTGAGCTACGCCTGGTGGTAGTGCTGGGCAAGCTGTGGGCTCTCTCCCAAGTCCTGAATCCCCTGGTGCTGCCAGAGTCTCCCTTACCTCAGAGGCAGAGTGGACACAGCTCCATCTCTACTGCCCACGACAACCTGAGGCTTCTAGAGCTTTCCTCTGCCTGCCCAGCTTGCGCTTTACCTGGCTTGGTGTCCTGATCAGTCCCCAATATTCCTAGGGAGCTCCTCTGCTCCCCAAGCACTGGACACATGGGCAGAGTACTGGGCATCTCTGTGCCAAGGAGCAGCTAGGAGTGCAGATGGGGTAGGAGTAAGGGCCCCAGGATGAGGAGGGGCAGGGGCGTCCATGGGGAAGAGCTGCCCGACTTCATGCTCACGGCGTGAGCACCACATCCGGAGCATCAGGGGTCTCCTCCACCTACTGAATCTCCTCCACGGAACCTCATGTGCCTCCATCAATCATTCTGCAAGATGAGTCACAAGGAAACTAACTTGCATCCAGCACCTTCCAAGCTTTTCACTACCACTGCAGTATATGGTTTTTCAATAAACGATCACAGTCCCTATTCGTACGTATAGATGAAGAAACAGGTATCGCTGACCACATGGAGCCCAGACCCAGTGCCTGGACCGGGCCCTGCAGCCTGTTGCTCTATGGCGCCACCTGCTGGCTACAGAACACAAGTCTCCCTTTCCTGTTGGCGCCGCCGTAGCGCAGGGTCTCCGCCCTCCGCGGTGGTGGGGGAATCCCGAGGGTCTGATGTTTGACCCTGCGATAGATAGTCCAGGAGAAGGTGGTGCTGGGCAGTCCAGAGGGGTTGGCCCTGGAGGGTGTTCGGGCAGCCTCCCCGATGGGTTCATTAGACATCACCAACCCTGCCTGGGCCTGAGCTGGCTGCAAGCATCGTGCTCTCAGCTAAAACATTTCTATGAATCTTTTTTATGACCTTTTTTTAAAGAAATAAACCTAAGCTGGAGAATCATAACGTTCAGCTTCCCTGACACTCAGAATCACCCAGGAGGCTCTGAACTTGGCAGTTAGGGGGGGGGGGGGCTCTGAAACTGAAGAAAAATAAAATCACCTCAGAAGCCCCGACGCTCCTTGTCTAGACACCCTGAGGACTGTCTTCCTTGGACTCTGCGTACTTAGAATTATTTGTAAAGTGACAATTTTGACGTCCCTTGGAGGTAGCATCCTGCCCGCTGGTTGAGGGTGGAGTACAGAGAAAAGCCAGGAGTAACAGGAGCTGGTGGCCCAGGGTGTGCTGCACACCTGGGTGATTGATACGACTTTTATCTAAAACACAGACTCCTTAGACACGGGCTATGCTAAAGGTGAAAATAATAAAGACTTGAGTAAAACCATTAAGAAGCCAAGACAGTGTGTGGGACGCTCCAGAAAGAGCTTCTCCCAGGCATGACCGTTTCTGTTCTTCCCCTGAGGCTCACACAAGGGCAATCCCCATACTCATTCATTTTCTTCTTCCTTTCTGGCCTAAGTAGCAGGTCTCTCCTTGAAGAATCACAGAAGAATGGGAAAGACACACCTGGGCCTTCTCACCCCCAGAGGCCCCAGCTGAGGCTGCTAGCTGTCCTTGGCAGAATCATTCTGCAAAGCAATTTGGCAAAGTGAGTTAAGGACCTTTAAAAAAAAAAAAAGGAATTTACATCCTTCCACCTGGCAAGGACTCTCCTGGCAAACCCCAGGGAAGCGTAAGAAATTTTGCAAAGATGTTCACTGAAGCTTTACATGTAGTTGCAAAGATCTGGCCACAGAGCCTGTGCTCCACAGTATGGGAATGGTTAATTATGGAACGTCCCTAAGATGGGATACACAGTTCCCAATTATGGCATTTTGAGACTGTTTGATGATTAGCAACTATCATTATGATATGATGTTACGTGGAAAGATGTAGGACAAAAGCATATGCATGCCTGATGCATTCCACAATGATACAGCTTCACATACATGTATAACTACTGAGAACTGGGAAGAGAAACTAACAAAATGTCCAAAGTGAGTTATATGTCTGTGGGTGATAAGATTATGGTTCATTTTCATTTTCTCCTTTGCTCTGTGTTATTTTCATACATTGCCTTTTTAATTGTAAAAAGTGACAAAAGAAATTTCCACCAAAAAGGATGAGGAAAAAGAAAAGCCAGTTTCCTAGTTAATGGTGTGGGTTTGAATTAATGGGAAGCTTTTCTGTGTGGTCTTTCAGTAAAATTCCTGCTGCAAGAACCAAACATTCCTGCCCCAGGGTGGCTGATTGGTGCAAAGTACCAGTCTCTTATCTCTGCCTCCCAGGACTGGAGAAGGACTAAGGGTGGACAGCCACAGATTGCAACAGTGCTGGAAACTGAAATCAGAATGTCTCAGCACACCTGACTTAGAACGTCCACTGGTTTTTTACTGTTTTTTGTTTTTCAAACCCTTTAAGAGTTGCAGGAGGAGGTTATGTAATCTTTCTGTTGACCCTGAAAGATGTGCAGTAAACAAACTAAAAGGTGCCTTATATGAGTCTTAGGGGACACAGAGGTGCTGAAGAAGAGCGTCCACCCTGTGCTGAGTGTGAGGACGGCCACAAATTCCACCTCCCATGATAGCGCTGGTCACCGACGGGCTGGCTGCAGATACTTGGACTCCCACCGCAGAAAGGAGACCCAGGCATGGCCAGCTGTCCCTGCTGGAGGAGCGAGGTGGGCAGGTTGGTGTCCCTGTGTCCTGTGAACCTGGAGCTCTCTGGCCTGGCCTCCACCGTGCCCTTTCTATAACACTTGGCTTCTTTGATGCAGGTCACAGAATTTGACTTCAACCAATGGGCACCTCAAGAATCCTGCCATGTAGTGCAAAGAAACCCCTGCTTCTGACACAAAGGTCCCCAGAAAGCATATTCTGTACCTCCTACTTCCAAAACCTCCGGAAGCAAGGGACACAGCTCTGTGTGGCCAACCTCTGAGTTTGCCCATGTCCCCATCCAAACGCAGAGGGGCGGCATTCCAGCCACCCTGGAGCCTTCCATCTCTGGGGTCCACCAGGCCACTGTGGCACGGGGAGTGTCCGCGGATGGTCAGCAGACCTCTCAATGCTGCCTCTTCTGTTATGCAGGCTGCAGGGTCTACACAACACATCTGTGATCACTGCCTGTCCAGACTCAGGACTTCAAGGCAATTAAGATCATGAGCAAAGACTTCGAAGCCTGAAAAAGTTATGTGCGTGCAAGTTATTTTGATTTTTTTTTTTTAAGGAAAACTTCTTTCAAACCACAGAAAGTAATAAGCCTCAGGATGTAGTCATGGGTGACTTCAGGTCAGAGTGGGATGGCAGGGAAGGCGCCGCTGCCCCTCCCCCTGCTGGCCTTTGGCTCAGCTACCTCTTGCTCCCTAAGGGACAAACTGAGGGTGCGAGCACAGGAAGGGAAGAAGCTGGGGTTGCTTGCTTGGAGGGAGGGCAGGGAGAGCTGGGCCTGGGGGATTTGGAGCAGCATTTCCTGGAGGCCCTGCCTTGGGATTTGGGGATAGGGCTGAGCTCTGTGATGTTGCCGGAGGCAGCACTGAGCAGAGTTCTACTCAGACCAGGATCACCAATGTGCATCTCACTGGCAAACGTTTTCACACCACAGGGTTCCAGAGCTTGATGGATCCCTGGGCCAGTATTTCCCAAAATGTTCTGGTCCATCATCACCACCATCGCCACATAAAAGGAGTTCTGTGCTCCAGCAGCAAGAGAAATGCTTGCAGAACACAGGGCTGTTTTCTCCTGCAGGTATCGGTGGAACCTTTATATGTTAATACATAGGTGTCACCCAGAGGACTCAGAGGCAGCAATTTCCAGACAGACTGGGCCATAGAAAATTTCCAGCATCTGCAGTACAGTTTACCAATCCTGGTTTTAAAGAAAGAGCAAAGCTAAGAGGCTCAGGGACTTGCCCAAGGTCACATAGCCTGTTTGCTCAAAGTCAGAAGCAGCTGAGAGCTCTGTGGACCTGCCTGACTCACCGGCCCAGGCGACCTCTCAGCCCCCTAACCCGGCTCTCACTCAGTGAGACCTCCCAACTGAGCACTGGGAGGACGTGTGTCCTGGTGCTAAACACTGTTGTCTGGAACCACTCACGCCATGGTTACCAGGGATGGTAATGGTCCTTTCTAGGCTCTTACTGCCCTGTTCAAAGAATTAGATAGAACAAATGAAGGATGGAAAAGTTGAACATTTATTGAAGGTACTGAAGGAGCACCAAATGTAGGGAAAAAAAGAAAAACTGTCTTCTGTTGAGCAAGCATGGGCCAGTTAAAGTAGGAAAAGACGTCCGCCCTGCAGAGTGCACCCACTGGGTGAATGGTGGCCGCCTTCCACACCCTCTCCTGACATCACATTTGGGAAGGCTGGCTAGGTCTCAGTGACTGATAGGTCATGCCTAACTGTCCAGCCACCTTGCCTTCCCCTAGGCTCCTCCCTCACTGTGGCTGTCTTTAGCTGGCTGATGTGATGGTTCCATCTGTCCAGAGCCTGGCTGAATGAGAGAATCTAACTCAAGGAGTGGCCTTGGAAACTCACTATAGTATCACCCCCCTGGGATGTGAATGAAAGCCCTCCTGCTATGGCCTCAGATGGGGAGAGACTGGCTTTGTTTAGCCCCTTTGCAAGCCAACTTACAAATGTGAACACTACTTAGAAACCTGTCTAGGTACAATTAAAGTATTATATGACCTCTTTTTTCCTCCATGTCTCCTCTGTCTTCTTTAGTGCAAAAAACATAGCAAGCGATGATCCCTCCTTGTTGGACAGTAGTAAATTTTGAGCGCCTGCTTGCATCGGTGATAGTCCTCAGACCCAGGATGGCAGGCCACGAAGGTGAAGAGCACAAATAGGTGGGGCCAAAGGGCCAGGTGGTTGCTGGCTGGATGCAGCAGGAAGAGGAGAGGCAGAGTCAGGAAGCGAGCTCCCCACCCCTGGGGAGCCTGTGCCAAGTGAGACAAGGTGGCCCCAGAAAACAGCCCGGGGTGAGGATGCTCCCAGGCAGGGACCAAGCGTTGTTGGCTGAGTGAGCTGGGAGGAGGGAAGTTGGTGCCCATGCAAGAGGATGCTGTCCTGCCCCGAGCCCCAGAGCACTGAAGTGCCCTTCTCAGTCCAACCACCACTATGCATAGATGTGCTGACATCTGAGGTGCCTTCGATGCGCTGTGACCTGTGCTCCCAGACTCCCAGGATTTGCACATTAATAAGGAGCTGATGCAACCACCACAGGCCAAGCGCTGCAGAATGACACCTGATTTTGTGCAATGCAGTGACTGCAGTGATTGACAATGTCCTGTTTCTGACAGTTGCTAAGCAAGTCAACTTTAAGTCTGCACCACCAAAAAAATTATATGCGAAGTCAAGCACATGTTAATGTGCTAAACCGAGCCACACCATAAGGTATGCATATTTCAGATCCTTGTGCCATGTGTGAAAAATATACATAATTTTCATTTATCTATTTTTAGAAATTAAATTTCCAAAACCTGATCAAGTACAATCATGCATTACTTACCATGAGACGTGCCCTGCGGAGGGCACCACTAGTGGATTTCCTCATCATGAGAACGGCACAGAGGCACTTGCACAGCCCTCAATGGCACTGTAGCTATGCACCGAGGCCATCCAGATGTAAACCATGCTCCGCTCAGTCCGTCAGTGACTGAAACATCATTAGGCAGCAAGTGAGGGACCTAGTGCAAATATATGAGGTAGGCACTGTGATGATCCTCATTGCAGAGATAAGGAAACTGAGGCAGAGGGTTTATGGTACTCGCCCAGGTCCAGCTGGACACGTCAGGCTTACCTACTGACCCTAACAGTTGGCTACTGAGTCTGTGTCCAAATATAGCTGTCAGCCTATCTCCCTAGAAATGTGTCCTGCTTTTGCAAGGAAGACCATCAACCAAAGGTTATTAGGGTACTATCTTATAATATGCTAGCAACTTGGCCCCAAAGGCTAGGGGTGCAGCTCAGTGATAGAGCACTTGCCTGCCAAGGCTACATGAGCCCTTGGGTTCCATTTTCACCTCTGCAAAAGAAAAAAAGAAGAAAGAAATAATGTTGTCCCCAAGGTTGGGAAGAGAAAGAAGCAGGAGAGAAATGACAAGGCACTGCCACAGGGTTGCTCAGTTCCCATTATGGTGATGACCACTTCGGTGATGCTCTCTGTGTACCCATCCATGTGACCATCACCAAGTACAGGATGTCACAGCAACCTGGGCGGCTGCTGTCTCAAGAGGACTGAATTTCAGCTGATGCTTTCCTCCTTGTGCGTTGCTTATGTGCACTTTTGCATATGTTAGTTTTGCAGAGAGCATGACTTGCTTTTATAAAAATCTTTAGAAGGTCAAAGTTGAATCCCTCTCTGCAGAGGTTCACTGTCAAGGTGGGTGGTGTGCCAAAAGCGAAGGGAAAGAGCAAGGTAAAAGTCCGCCTGGCACAGTGCCTAGCAGGAGGCAAGTGAGGGCCAGGAAGTCACGTGTGGGCAGATGGGATGACAGGGAACAGATGCGAGTGAACAGGTTTGCAGGGAAAGGGACCAGAGGTGCAGAGGTGCAGGCCCAACTCAAGGTTTCACATAGCGTTTCTAAATGGTAGGCTAAGTGGAAAGTTGGTTTGCTGTGTCATTGTTTTTATTCAACTAAAAATGTACAGAATGATGCAAAGTGGTACATCACTGTCCACTTCTTTTCTCAGGAGGTAGAAAATTGCATATTTTGAACCCAGAAGGTTTCCTGGGGAGGTCTGGGTGTGCTCAGAGGGGTGAGGTCAGGTTCGGCACAGTGGTGGAAGAAACAAGGAGTGCACGTGATTCCCCCAAAACCAAAACAAGGCAGAAGAGGTTCTGGGAATGGAAACCACAGGTGAGTCAGCGGGGGAGCAGGCTGCCGAGGTCTGTGTCCTCTGCCCAGTGCTGCAGAGAGCGCCCCAGGGAAGGGAAACTCCCCAGCCCTGGGTGCATGGCCAGGGGTCATAGTCACAGCAGCCGAACACAGCCCTGTAACCACCACTGCCCAGCCACACCCCAGGCTGCAAGGGCCCAGCCAGGCTCACCCCACAAGGAGCACAAGCCCGTCCCCGAGTGCAGAATAAAGACACAGTCAGCCATATGCCGACCCCCTGAGCAGCACGTGCGAAATGACAAAAGCCCTGGGGCATCTGTCATCATCACATTTAATGAAGTATTTCAATGATTGATCAAATTTGATTCATTAATCATATACAACAGACTTCAGAGTTTTAAAGGAAAGCTCCGCCCACAGCAGCCAGGGGAAGGGAGGTCACTAAAGGACTCCTTTGCTCAGGGATTTGGGTCAGAAACGCCTCCTTTCCAGCCCTCAGCAATAATCAAATCTGTGCAAGTGACTCTTGCACACATCTGTGCTGGCGCAGGCCAGTGCTATAAGAACAATCTCACTCCCTGCTCGGCGACCTCCTCACATGGTGGTTTCTATTCTCATCCCGCTGATGAGGACCCTGAGTGCAAAGCGGAAACGCGCTCACCTTGACCGGATGGTTCAATGGCAGAGCTCGAATCTGAGCTTAGTGGGACAGCTCAGAGTTTGTCACCACCCTCTTGTCCTGAGGTGTCTGGGCAGACTGCCACACCCTAACATTCAGGGAACGCGGAAAGAGATAGACTCCAGGCTGAACCCAAGTTAACTGTCATTTTAGTAGGGCCATCTGCACCCTGAGGTGTCAGGGGTCAGCGGGGATGGAAGTGGACCGTGAAGATACATTCCTGGTCTTTCTTGCCAAAATGCCAACAGAGTCCCTCTTAGACCTTGATAAGTGCAAAGCCAACAGTATGCACAACTCCTACCCTGCAAGAGCCTCACGGCAGGAGAGACAGCAAACAGAGCAGGAGAGCAGGGTGAGGAAGGCACTGTCACCTTCCGCTGCCCAGCCCCAGCCCTGACTCGCGTGGTACAGGCTGACAGCTGGCTTCTGTGGGTTTAAGAAGGTTCCATAGAAGCGCATGGTGTAGGCTAGGAAAGGCCTGATGTGCAGGTGTCCCTAGTGTGCTGTCAGCTCCCCACAACCAGGCAGTATGCTGGAGACCTCCCAGCAGCAGCAGCCACCTGCGCCCCGAGGGCTACTCAGAGGGCCCCAACAGTCCTTGTCTTCACCCTGTGCATGACCAGTCCTGATCTCTCCTGTTGAGGGGTTTGCAGAGTCCGGGGTAAGGAGGGGAGAGGGAGCATCTCCATGAGTAAGGCACAAGTGTTTAACACGGGGCCATCTTCCAAAGCAGTCTTGCAAGCGTGCCGTGTCCACGCGCTCCCGCTGGCCACAGAGCTTTGCTTTTGTTGGTGCCCTGAGTGGCCACTGCTGGTTTGGGGGCGCCTGTGAGAGAAGCAGGAGAGAGGCGTAAGGAGCACCCCTCCTCTGTCTCCTCAACAGGGTCCAGCACAGCTGCTACAACCACAGGAGAGGAGAGCCAGGGGCAGGCCTTCCAGGGGGCCAGTCCAGGCAACCACCATCCCTGGTCTGCTCCGGACTCTCCCTTTATTCTTGTGCTCTTGTTGTCTATTCAGAGGTCTTTTGTTTTTAAGTGTTCAAATAATAGGTAAGTTTTTATTCATGCAAGGCACACAGAGGTCTTCAGAGATGCACTGGGGCCTCCAAACCCCACAGTGGCACTGTCCTGCTCTGCAGCTCACTCTGCAGGGACATCGGGTAGGTGGTGAGAAGCCAGCAGAGGCAGCGTGGAATCCGGAGTGGCACAGCCACAGGAGCTCAGTGAAGGTTCAGTGAAGAAGCTGACAGAAAGACCCCCGGCCCCAGGCTCCTGATCAGCCCAGGGCTGGCTGCATGGCCGAACTTCTGCCTCCATCTCCCACTCAACAGTATCATCTTAGGAATTAATTACTCCATTGCTTCAGGCCGAATACAGGAGCTAGAAGAAAGCCGCAGGCAATTCTTAGAAGCCTGCTGAGCAAGGGAAGCGGCGTTTGATGTGGAATAACAGAGGAACCCTCGGAGGATGGACTCTGATATCTCCACAATTATCACGGCTCCAACTACATCTGAAGCGAGCGATCCTCTGACAGAACTTGGTTGTGATGAGTTCATCATCAACACAGAAGCGGGAAGCGGTGAAGCTACTTCAAGAGCCCCGCTGCATGCAGGACCATCCTGTGCCAATCTGGTGACCTGATTCTTTTTAAATCAAAGTATAGGAGAATAAGTCAGTGCATGGTTGAGAACAAAGGAGGAAAACTTAGCATGAAAAAGAATCAGACGCGAAATAGGAAAACATGGACAGTATCCCACGATGCCTCTAATGTTCTTTGAGGGTGTTTTGTTCCAGACATTGCTTTTCCCTGAATGGTGGAAACAGCTTTCCTCTAAGGCAAAGGAGAGTTTTGTAAAATTGAAGCCTGATTAGGAGTGGGCAGTAATGTGGTCTCATAGAAAGAGAAAAGAACAGTGCTTACCAGAGCCTGGAGAGGAGGACAGAGAGAGGAGGAGGGGGAGGTAGGGAGGAGCTGGAAGGGGAATGACTTCTAATATCCCGTACTATGGTTGGCAATAATTACTTACTGTGTATTCCAAACCAGCCACTGGAGAAGGTTTTGCATATTCCTAACACAAAAATATCAGGAGTGCCTTATTGTGTGTGTCTCAAATGAACACCAAAAGAGTTTGAAAGATGATTCGATCACAGAGGCCTATATTCATTAGTGGATTAATCCTGAATGTGCCATTGAGAGGGAGGCCTGGTGTAAATAGGTGGGCCACCAGGGACCTGACCCTGGAGGATGTATTCCCCTCTCACTCGCTGCCTCCTGGCTGCCCTGGGGTGATCAGCTGTCCTCTGCCAAGCCCTTCCACCATGTATTTCTGCCTTGGAGCCAGCCATGGACTGAACCCGCTGGAAACCATAAGCCCCAAACACCTCTCTTCCTTTAAATTGACGGTGTCGAATATTTTCCCCATTGATAGGAAAGTGACTGATAACGAGGTAATGAATGAGTCACTTACTCTGATCTGACCATGTCACATTATATGTACAGGAATATCACACTGTACCACATCGATGTGTATAATTAATAAGTGTCAATTTAACAATTTACAAATATTTAATTTATAATAAAAAAGAATTGGTGATAATAAAGCCCATGGTGACAAAAAATTTAGCAAAGGTAGAAAAAAAGAGTCAAAGCTGATTTACTCAGACCAGAAGGCTGCAGAACGAACTTGAAATTTTGAAGATGTCTGCTTTCTTCATATCAGAGACAAAAGAAGGTTTTATTTATTTATTTATTTATTTATTTTGGTACCAATGAACAAACTCATGACCTCATGTTTGCCAAGCAGGGACTTACACCACTGAGCTAAGCCCCCTGCCCTGCGAAAGAAGGTTTTAGAGTAGGATTGAGCTTTTGCTTCCTGCGGCATTTCGAAGGTAAGGAAAGAACATATTATATGTATAAGATGGGATCAAAATATATGGTGCATATCTTAGCTTTTTAAAAATTCATTAAAATAAGACACATTGCTATTAATTCTCTCAAAATATATCCCTCAGTTTGAATACACTAACCCTCCCAACACGCTTGCCTCTTTCTGAAGTAGTTCTGGAAGGCCTCTTTACAGAGTATCTTTGTTATTGTTGTTGTTGTTCTGGTCTTTTTGAGACAGAGTCTCAACATGCAGCTCAGGCTGGCCTTGAGCTCACTCTGTAGCCCAGGCTGCTATCAAACTTGCAATGATCCTCCTGCTTCAGTCTCTTGAGTGCTGGGATTACAGGTGGCACCACCATGCCTGGTTCCTGAGTGTCTTTGGAAGGTGTGTCTGAAAAATGCGGTGCATGGTGCTGCTGAGTGCCATTCAACAAAGAAGCAGGCCAGAAAAAGCACACAGTGTGTCTTTGTCTACCTTATTCACTGGATCCAGCCCTGTGTGACTTCTGGCTCTTCCCCAAAATCAAAATGACCATGAAAGGCAGATGCTTGAAATCAATTCAAGCATCAAGATAGCTTGAATCAATCAATACAAGATAGCAAGGCAGCCATTCCAGTGCAACCCAAGGCACTAGTCCCAGGGAAGAATCACAATTTGCAGGTGACCGGGGCCTGGGGACGCACCAGAAATCAGGAGTCAAGTTTTACTTCACAGATAATCCCCACAGAATGAGGGGCTTCAGGTCACCCTGGGTCCCCTTTCCAGCCAGTTTGCCTAGGGCTCCCTTCAGGACTGAGCTAAAAATAGGTGTCCCCTGCAATTCCGTGTCTAGTTCTGCTCCTGGGTTGAAATCCCATCTCCATCCCTGGAGACCTCAGCTGTAACCTGGGGTGACAAGAGGTGGACAAAGATGAGCAAAAAGGCTGTGGGGGAACAGAGCCCTCCCCGCCCCACCCCTAGAGCCCTCCCTACTGCCCCCCCCCCAGCTTTTAGCTCTTTCCAAATGGAAAACCCTGGCCTTAAACCTCACCCTGCTCTGAGCTCTGTCCCAGGCTCCCGATGCTCAGAGAACACAGAATCCATTGAGGCAGGAAAGCAGGACTGGCCCTGGCCTTCTAAGGAGTCATGCCTCCTCCCACATACAGAACAGCTCATCCACTGATTTCAAACACCCACTTCTCTCCACAAGTGTCTGTACTTCCCATTAAGCCCTCCTGTGTATTTCTGGTTTTCTGACAGGCTCTCGCTATGTGGGCTAAGTGACCTTTAACTTGCCATCCTCCTGCCTCTGCCTGCTGAACTCTAGAGACCCAGGCACAAGGCACCAGGCCCAGCTTCACCCTCCTCTTTCATCCCTGCAGTCATTCCCCTGCACAGTCCTGCAGGGACTCATCTGCCACAAGGCACCTGCTCAGCCTGGGGTCCCTCACCAGCTCACCAACATGGAGGCCGAGAGCCATAGAGCCCTGAGCAACTGGGGTCCCCAAGCCCCACAACCTTCCTGATCAGCCAGCAGGGGCTCCCTGCTCCCACTGAGACCTGGAACCTGCATTTTCTCCAATAAGGTCCTCCTCTAAGGGCCTCTGCGCCATCCCAGCCCACCAACAACTTAACAATGGCCACCATTACTAGGAGCCCTCCCCATGAGCTAGACCAGGACACCTCACAATAACCCTGGGGACACCATCATTCCCATTTCTCAGACGGAGAAACTGGAATGCATGGGCATTGCTACAGGGCAGCCCAAGCCCGGCTGATGTCCAAGTCCAGCCCTCAACCCTATACTAGACCACCTCTCTAAAAAACTGCCCTCCGACCACAGAACTGACAAGTCCCATCAGCCTGAAATGTATTGCTAATTACTTTATTCCTTCTGGATATCAAGAGAGAGAAGTGATCAAAACATAGGCATGTGCCTTACTCACTAAATCCAGTTTCCAAAACAAGGCCTCATGGGACTCATTTATAAAATACTGAACTTAATGGATTGCTAGATAGAGGATAGGAAGCCAGGGAGGGGAGAAGGACTGGCCAGAGTGAGGTCAAAGGAGCACTCCCTGAGCACAGCGCCGTTTGGGCTTAATGATCTGGCCAGCTGGTCGTGCCACCAAGCCTCTGCCCTCTGTAGTGACCAAGTATACTAGTCAAGGAAGAAGCCCAGGGCGAGTGTCTCCCTGTGGCCTCTGTACTCAGCTGTAACCCAAACTTCCCAGAGACAAAGTTCAGAACCAGCCACGGCCCCCACCCCAGAACCTTCCAGGCAGGCTGCTGCGGTCACCTTCTCACGGGGATGGGAAAAGCTCTTCCTTTGTTGCCCCAGGTCCCTTCCCCCACTTTGGTGTGGTTGCGGAGGGAGGGGGCCCCTCGCTGTGGTCTGGCCTTGGGGCAGAGTAACCACAAGACAATCACACAGCCCAAATTAAGCTCACCAGAGCAGAGTTCCTGTGTGCTCTCACGCTCAGAGCCTGCTTTGTGGCACAGAGTGGGATGTCCTCACGTGTGTGTGTGTGTGCGTGTGTGTGTGTGTGTGTGTGTGTGTGTGTGTTATGCACACGTGGCCCTAGGAAAGAGTGAGCAAGAGGAGAGAAGCTGGTCCACTGTGTACATTTTCAAACTTCATTTGTGGTTCACAGAAGCTTATAAGGTGATCACAAAATAGGGCCAGATTTACATTGTTACAAATCATTACAGTGAAAGACACTTGACTACTAATCCCTCTCTCAAGAGACTCCTACTCACTGTCCTTGCCACCTCTGGGACAGTTCTGGAGGTCCAATTTGTGTGTCTACTTGCACACTCATGGCTGCCTGGATGTCCTGGGTAAATTCCAAACGATGACCTCTCATGGTCATTTTAAGGAGGAGTCACATGGTCCCAGATCTGGTGAACATGGTGGATGAAGACAGTTTCTTTCTTTCTGTCTTTACAAACCTGCCTTTCTGTTGAATGGCGCTTGATAGCAGCATTCCCCTCATTTTTGATCACCCCGTGTAAAGACCCTCATGAAAGAAGACTTTCAGACCTGCTGCAGGACGAGGCAAGAATGATGGAATAAGTGTGGTAGAAGCAAGGGAAGGACATTTGGGGGATAACAACAATGTATCGTTTACTGTAATAAAATGTTTTTATTGTAACACACATGCATGTGCATGCACACACACACATGCCATTTTTTTTTAAATTTTGTCTTTTTGAGACAGGCTCTCACTATGCAGTTCAGGCTGGCCTTGAGCTCACTTTGTAGCCCAGGCTGGTCTTGAACTCGCAAGGATCCTCCTACCTCAGCCTTCCAAGGGCTGGGATTACTGGCGTGCACCACCACACCCAAGTGACACCATAATGTGTAATCAGCCCTTCCAACGATGTTCTGTTACAACGGCAGCCCTATGTCCGCGCCACCCAGGCAGGGTTTTCCAAGGAGCCGAATTGGTGAGTTGTAAGATAAACAAGCCTGAGGTGGCTGGACACACATCTATGAATGTGGTGCAGCGCAGGCACCTGGGAAATGGGGCGTTTTAAAAGAGACCGGGGATGCAAATAAATAGCTTTACAAGTTGCGATGCTGAGAGAGAAAGGTGCATCCAAGCAGCAGCAGGTCCCGAGAGTCCCCATTAGTTGAGGACAGGCCAGGACAGCTCCACTGTAGGCTCAGGAACCACCATGATCTCAGAGACCTCCCACCGGACCCAACCACGGACTGGGGCTACTCTCAGAGCTCAGCCCCACCCTCAGCCCCAGAAAAGCCAGCTGCACTCACCATAGAAACCGGAAGCTCACAGCCCAACACCATGATCCAAACTCTCTCCTCCAGCTGATTGGGTTTGGTTGGTTAATGGTTCCAGAAAAACAAGAACCTGAGAACAGAAAGCCCCGAGAAAATGCAAAATGCAGCAAAGTCTGAAATGCTGCTTCCCCTGCCCCTTCCACACACGTCAAAAATAAAAGCCTGATCCCGAAGATGGGGGCCCATGGTTACCATGGCCTGTGGATCCTGTGGTTTCTTCCGGCCAGGAACACAACCTGCCCAAAGGTGACGTCTTTCTGGGATGGCGCTGAAGGGACACAGCTGCTCGTAAGCTTTCCTTCCGACTACTGGATAAATTTTTCATGTTTTCTGTCTCCTATTTGTCTCCCTTAGGTCGCTAAGGGAGGCAAGTTTTTCATACTGTTATCAAGGGAAAAATTAAGCCCCACAAAGACGTGTAGTTTTTACACTGCAAATTACATACAGTAGCTGCCTCTTATTCTTGGGGAAACACTTACCTCAAAACTCTCCATTCACTAGGGTTTTTCCTATACACACATGCCATTGATAAAGCTGAATTTACAAATAAGGCACAGTAAGAAATCAGCAATAATTAATAATAAAATATAGTAATTACAATGTGCTATGCAAAGAGGTAAGACTTAAGAAGTATGTGTTTCTGAGATTTTTCATTTACTATTTTCAGACTGCCGTTGACTGCAGGTAACTAAAACCACAGAAAGCAAACCTGTGGATGAGGGTGGAAAACCGTGCAACGCTCAGGCTGGGGCAGAGCCCGGTGACTCCTGAGGGACTTGGTACAGGGAAGAAGGGCGCGTGGGCACCTGGTAACCCAGGCCTCTGCCGACACCCCACAGCAGTCATCTCTGTCAACCGCCCGCCAGCGCCCTTGTTCCGTTAACAACACAGATCTGGCTGAGAAGCCCACAGACCGGGGAGTGTGTCCTTACCCCCCCGGCAAACCCCCAGCCTTAATTACAGACCTGCAGGGCACAGGCCATGACTTGTTTCTGGATCACATTTGTAAGATTGCAAAAAACAATTTGGGAAGAGAAAACAGGAAGTGGATAAGTGTCAGTCCAGCATGGGTTGACGGAGTAATATTCTCCCCCACCCCCAGACCCTTTTGAATAGTTCTCCATGAGAAATGCATGCTGGAAAGTAGAAATGAAAGAAAGTAGTGTGGAGGAGAAATGGATTATGCCATTTGTATATATTCTATGCTATCTGACATCACTCTAGATTTGGGGGACCTTTTAATCTTCTTTGCAAAAGTACCATTTTCAAAATATTAGAAATCTGTTTCTCACCCTCCCTGATGCGTGACAAGCTGGGCACACTTGGTTAATTCATTATCAAGAGCACCCACAGGAGAGAATCGCTGAGTTCCAAGGTGTCTGAGGAGTCACTTGGGGGGAGGAGGCTGGCAGGAGTTGGCTAGGTCACACACCAAACAGTTCAGTGTTTTATGACACAGTAAAACTGTAATCTTCACTAATCATTTCAACCAGACACCCAACCATCATTTGCTCTTTACTGGACAAAAGTTGTATATGACTTACCTTCTACCAGGAACTTGCAGCCTCTGGCGGGTCTGGGTCCTAATTACTAGTTAGTCCCACGTGACACAAAGGTACATTCCCCGGAGATTTAAACAACAGTTGGGCAGGGCTCCAGTACATATGGCAGTAAAACAACATAGATTTCTACTCTGTGCTTATTTCCAAGGCTTGCGTAATTTTCTAGGCAGACAACTCCATAACTCTACAAAAGTGCATTACCTGTTAAAAGCGAAGTATAATACCATATCACTAAGCTGAAACGGCCTTGCACAAGTAACAGCAAAATTATAAAACTTCAAACAGTAGACACAACCTGATCCCTTTCTCATTCTCTACATTTTACCCATCACAGTGAGTTTAACTTCATTTACCTCATCTTGCCACTTAGCTGTAAAGAGCAAGTTTCAGTTTTTCTCTGAGGTTGGTTTGTAGCCTCAGCCTCAGCCACTTGGGTTAACATTTCCCAAGGAGAAGGCAGGGCCTCCGATCCAGCGACAAAGGACAAGAAGAGTGGAACAGAGGCCAAAAGGCACTGAAAACTGAACGGGTAAATCAGATCTTGAGTCTAGAACACAACTTCATACAGAGGCCCCCCAAAGCATGGCTAAGTGAGCACCCGTCTCTGGCCATATCTGCGCCCTGGGGCTTCCCTCCATTCACCCCACCAATATATTCCTGAAATCGCCCCTCTGGGCTGTGCCTTTGTCCTGCCACACCTCGATGACACACCAGGACCCAATGTCATCTCATGCTTGGCCCTCCAACCACCATTCCAATGCAATCAGGTGATGTTTTCGACTGAACACCCACAGAACAGCTTCCAAACGCCAGCACTGTTCTAGATCCCGGGGATAATGAGAAAATAAGATGAATTTCTTTGCTTGAACAGATTTTCAATTGAGTTTAAACTTTGTACTCAATCTAGAACAGCACAGAGTATTAAAAGAGAGGCGGCAACTACATAAGAAAGAGCTTGATGTGGGCACGGAGGGAGTCACCACAAAGAAGACCGTGGCAGCTCTGCAGACAAAGGACAGATTCTACATGATACAGTTTTTGATGGGGGAAGGGTTTTGGGGACTGATATGAGCTGATTTATTTTGTGAGAATGCAGGGGATCAGATCGGGTAAATCTTTGCACACACTGGACTTTGGCAAAGACTTCTGGGAGGAAGAAGCCGCCGGGCTTCTGGGAAGGAGCTAAGCACCATGATGATTCAGCACTGACTGCCACCACGATAACTGGGCAAATCCCAGGCAGGGCCCTTATCAATTCCCAGGGGCAGGGAGACAGGAAGCAACCGATGCCAAACAGTGACAAGTAAAAAGAAATAAGCAGGGATGGCCTCTTTCATGCAAGCCCCCTAGGCCAGCCCTAATCTCCTGCCTTCCATATATGCGGGTGTCACTGCCTACCTCAGGAGGGCCTTCCCTGCCCCTGCACTCTGCTGCATGCCACGGTGCTACTACAATGACCCCTGTCAACCCAGCCCCGCCCACCATGAGAATACTGTGACCCCGGCCCACGGAGCCCACCATGACAGCACCTTGGCCGGGCCATGGGGCAGGGGGGTCCTGTCACGTGGTGTCCTGTCACAGGGGAGGGGACCAAACTGAGTGGGCACTGAGTAGACACGTGTTGATGGTGCCAAGGAGAGTTGTGTGGCATGTAGAAGGCCCACCCATCCTGGTGGCCTGGGTGGCCCTTTGTTGTGATGACCTGTGCTTGACCGGGACGTCCTGTTGTTTCCCATGAGAGAAGGAACACAGGCTATGCGCTCCACCGGGGTCTCTCCGCTCACATGGCCATGGCGATGTGGAGGAGGAAAACACGGGGCTCCCCGAGGGCCCCATCTCCCAGCCCCCACTCTAGCCCCTTCCCCATGAGAGACGTGCCCTTCTGAGGAGGGGGCCTTCCCCTAACTGTAAATCATTTCTAAATGGCATATCCTGCCCGGCGTATTTCAAAATGGAAAGAAAACGCTTCTCCCACAATTATAGTCATTTTGTAACTTAAACCCCGCAGTTTCCCAGCTCCTTCCAAACCTACTTATTTTAAAACAGAATACTGCAGTTTCCCAACGCGCGCAGGATTGAGCAACCCGCGCGTACGCAGCGCTCGGTGCGCGCTCGGCGATTATCCCAGGGCCGCTGGATTAAGGATGGGTTGGGTCAGATCGCACTGCTGTCATTTAGACAGACTGCAAAAGCTGGATTTTAAGAGAGACTAAGGAGGTCGGCAGGGACCATATCACGGAGGCCAGCAGAGGAGGTGGCATGTGAAGCTGAGCCCCTGGGAGACTTGGCACCTGCCCTGTGGGGTGCTGAATGTAGTGGCTTCCAGCTGCCCACTGGACAGGTGACTCATGGCCTAGCAGAGCTCCCAGCATGGGAACAGGATGCTGGGACCTTCCCAGAGGATGAGCCTTGGTGCACAAGCTTATGATGTGGTATGTTCTCATGTTCACTCATTTCTTTGAATTAAAAAAAAAAAAAAAAAAACAGAAATATTCCCTGACTGGGTTACATTTGTCTTGTTGCTGGGACAAAATACCTGACACCCAAAATGAAGGAAGGAAAGGTTTATTTAGCTCACTGTCTGTGGAGGTTTCAGTCCATGATCAGCTGGTTCCAAGACAGGTGTCAGGGCACAGGAGTGGCAGCCAGCAAAAGCAGCCAGAGCCAAAGAGGGGCAGAACAATCTTCTTTTCCTCCCTTACATTGTACATAGGCCACCACCACCCCTCCAGGGCCGGTGTATCACTCACAAAGTCTCTGTACCCTCCTCTTGCATAGGCTGAGTAAGATCCCTGGTTCCCAGCTGAGTCTCTTTAAACTTCTAAACTGCTCAAGTTGACACAAGGAAACATTTCTTTGAATTAAAAAAAAAAAAAAATAGAAACATTCCCCCTCCCCCAACAAGGCTTCGATGAAATAAACCTCACCCAGATCTGACCTTGAGCTAAGCAATAAATGAGCAAGTGACCCTGTATAATCCCACAGATCACATGATCTGGGGTACAGTGGGGTGCACAGTCATGAACACATGCCTGTCATGAAATACACATGCTCAACGAGAGGAGCCACCATTTTGCCCCAGGAAGGCACAGAGATGACGCGGGGAACAACAGACTTCCAAGACAAGGCTGCGGACCCTGAGGGTGTCCCTGGTGCATCCCCAGGGTCCTCAAGCCTACAAACCTTGCAGGAAGTTTCGGCCCAAGGCCAAGTCAACAGGTGTTTGCCCCCATAACTTTTTTTTTTTTAATTTGGGAGTCAGCTTTCACCAGGTGTGAGACACAGATCCGTTGACTCGGAGCCAAGCATTCAGCAGAAACCTCCCTCAGTCCCAGACACTTGTCATCTTGGATTTAAACTTGACCCTGTCTGCCCCTGCACACAGGGAAAAAGGTCAGGAAATGTGGCAGTCAGCGTGCCCCAAATGTCTGGCTGATGAATCGCTTCCCACCCAATCTGACAGCCGCAGAAGGTTTCCCCTCTCGCCTCCAGGCATTATCTCGACATGGGATGAACTCGAAGCTGTCAGCAGAGTCACACACGCAAAACTGACGCGTAAGGACCTGGAGGACACTCAGGAGGCCTGGCTCAAGCGTGCACTGGGGCAGATGGATGTGTTTTTCTCGAGAGAAAAACAATGTAAACCTTTGTACCCAGCCCCAGAGTTCAAACCGAGAGTCATCGCATCCGTAGACATGTTATCAGATTCTGCCCTAAAGCCCAGTAATTTAATGACACACAGGAGCCACTGAAAATCTGTCTCAACTATTGCACAGAGAGACAGCCATGGATTTCAGGAAGGATACTTATGCATCTGGGACTAAAAATATCCATTTTGGATACAAAACAGTACAGCCAGCTAGGAAGACAGTTTGCCAGTAGCCGAGGAAGAGTAAACATGTATCTCTCCTGTGGCCGGGCAAGCCACTCCTGGGTATCTCACCCAAAAGAAGTGAAAACAGAAGCCCACAGAGAGACCCCATACAGAGATGTTATAGTAGCTTAATTCATAATTACTCAAACCCGGAAAAAAGTTCAAATATCTATCAACTGGTAAATGAAAACCCAAATTATGGTGCATCTCTAGAGGGGGTACAAACCTACTCTCCAGTTAGAATTCACATTCAGTACCCAAGGGTATGGTAAGTCTCAGAAATACCTCTGATAAGTAAGAGACCTGCCACACACAAAAGCATATCTGTGGTTTGATTTTATTTACAATCAATTTTTTTTTTTGAGACAAGTTCTCATTATGTAGTCCAGGCTGGCCTTGAGCTCACTAGGTAGCCCAGGCTAGCCTCAAACCCACAGTGATCCTCCAGTCTTCGCCTCCCATATGTTAGGATTACAGGCGTGAGCTAGCACTCTCAGATTCAATCAATTTTACAAAAGGCAAAACTCTAGTGACAGAAAACAGTCCTGCTGATTGTTGGGACCCAGGGGAGGGGCGTGACTACAAAGAAGTTCAAGAGAACTTTTAGGGTGACAAAAGGTTCTTTTCAGTTGTCATGGTGGTTACCTGACCACATACAATTACCTAAATTTATTGTGTGTACTTCGAGTGATCTTCGGAAACTCACCAGAAATATCAGGAACTGCACCGAGAGGCACGCTGTGAGCACCTGCTCGGGAAGAATTCAAAGCTGCAACCCAGGCAACCCTCTCTCCCTGTGCATTCCAGAGCCTCATCTGCAGGAAGCCTCGGATAGGAAATATTAAAATAGAAAAACAATTAAAACTCTTATTACGATAATGCAAATAAAAACTACAGCCTAAGAACTCTTTTACCTCACACTTTACATTGCACTAGTTATTATAAGTGGTCCAGAGATGGCTTAAGTGTATGGGAGGGTATGTACCAGATGCATGTAAATATTGTGCCTTTGCATACAACGGTCCTGGAATTCATCTGCCCAACTCCTACTCCAGGCCGACTATGTAGCAAGCGGGGACCGAGCATCCCTCCAAGGCCTGGTCATCTTCTAGGAACCAAACCTCATTCTGTTCCTCACTAGAAAACACATCATACTTCTCCTTACTTAAGAGACAAACAGTGAAGGTCCATTTGTTATTTTTGCAACTCTGACACACGCCCAGAGCCTGGGAAAGTTCTTGAGCAAGAGTTCGAGGCAGCTGCAGGCGGGCGAGCGGGCGGTAGGGTCCCCGGGTCAGCTCACCCACCGCACTTTTCCCTCTGGGCTCGCTGGCCTGTGAAGGTGTCGGGGCACTGCCACATGACTTGCCGACCGTCAGTCTTGGTTACTGTACAATAACAAAGAAATCATCAAGATTCTCTGTAAGCCAAAACCCTGAATAAAACCAACAACACCACAGGGCCTCCCATCCCCCCCAAAAATTAAAGGTTGTGACTGCCAGGCATGAAAGGGCTGCAGGGCGCCCCAGCTGTGGCTGTGGGTCCCTGTGGAAAACGCTGTCCACACGCCCAATCTTGAAAACCACAAGAAGGTACCGCGCATTTGCAACCAAACTGCATCAAATTTACAAGAAAGTAGAAGAGGGGAGTTAATGGCCTGACTCAGCAAAGAGGACACAACCTTTGCATCTTTCAGGGCTGCTGGGCACGAGACCTGCCCTGGCTTTCTGTTCCCCCTGCTCTGGAGAGCAGCACCCCTCAACCTTCTTGTTCTCCATGTGCTGCTCTTGATGAATTAACAGACTAATTAATTAACCTGAGCACATCATGCACAAGAGGACAGGACGGAAGCTGAGGAGCAGAGCCTGAGGGCTATGATGCTCCGCCTGTGTGACAGGAACTGACCTGCACTTAGCCTGTGCTCCGAGTTTGTGGTGCTGGCAGGGACCTCACGTCTCTGAACCCTTCTGACCTTCCGCATCTACAGATGTAATTAGGTTGGGTTTGAAATCACCTGCCCTCAAGCCTCAGCACCCAGCAGACTAGGAGTAGGGAAGCCATGGTTTAAAAGATACCATATGGCCAAGTGTGATGCTGCACGCCTATAATACTGGCTACTCCAGAGGCTGAGGCAGGAGGATTTCCCATTCAAATCCAGCCTTGGGTCCTGTCACAAAATAATAAAATACAAATGGCCAGGGAGGTAGTTCAGCACTTCCCGGGTTCAATCTGCAGTACCAGAAGAAGACAGAGAGAAAAATCATGTACTCTTCAAAGCAGGGATATGGAGACACCCCAGGAAGCTCCAATGAGTCTGTGAGTGCCCCCCCCAATTAAGTCAGTGGGCAATAGAAGTCTTAGAGCTGGGTGTCAAGTCCAAGGTCAGGAAAAAACAAGGGCCCCAGCTCAAGAAGGGAGAGGAAGGATTTGTTTTATTCAGGTCAAACAGATTGGACGGCATTGGCAAAGGCAGACCTTCCTTCCGTGACCTAGGCTGAGCTCGTTCAGAATCGCCGTCACAGACCCTCAAGCAGTCAAGCTGACGTATAAAAGCAGCCATCACACAGGCGACAGAATATACTCTCAGCTGAACAAAAGGAACCCTGACGCCTGCCACAGCAGGAATCAACCTTGAGAATATTCTGCTAAGCCACAATAAGTGTGGCAGTGCTCAAACTCACAAGGACAGAAAGTAGAAGGGTGTTTGGCAAGGGCTGCTGGGAGAGAAAACAGAGTCGCTTAAAGTTTCAGTACTGAGAGCCAAAAGGAATTCTGGGGCTGGGCTACACAGCTATGTGAATATCTTAACAAACTTGGTTAAGAGGGAAAATTTTGCCAGGCATGGTGGCCCACGCCTGTAATCCCAGCACTCTGGGAGGCTGAGGCAGGGACACCCCAAGTTTGATCCCAGCCTGGACAACTTAGCAACTTACTTAGAGCCTGTCTCAAAATTAAAAAATAAAAGAAGTGCTGTACCTCAGTGCAAAGACCCTGGGTTCCATCCTCAACACAGAGAGATGGGGGAAGAGGGTAAATTTTATGTCATGCGTATTTTGCCACAATTAAAATTTCCATTCAAGAGCTTCCCTATGCACCAAGCTCCCCACCGCTGAGCGGTCACCCCTCTTCATTTTGCTGCGCTGTCTCTTCCTTCAGCGTCGCAGCCATCTGGTGCCAATTTTACTAATGGTAGAATGAAATTCAAACAAACTTTCCTCCAGAGAAAGGACAAACTCGGGCAACTCGCCAGGGCAAAAACAAAAAAAAGCAGGAAAATAAGCAACCGTCCTGGTCCAGAAGGCGCCCCTGGGGGCCACCGGCTGATTCCGCAGGGCCGTGGCCCACATGCTGGCCCCCGGAAGGTGACCTGGTCTCCTTGGGACAGTTGACATTAGGGGCAAGAGGAGGAAGAGCCAGGGTGAGTCTCTGAACCGGGTTCCAGTCCGCCAACTGCATTATCGTTGTCCTTCCGGGTTCTGAAAGTCTCTTTCCGTGAGTCACAAAGGTTAGCTGGCGCTGGAGATGCGGAACCAACCGCAGGGCTTTCCGGATATAGGTTGTCCTCAGGAGACCCCTTCCTGAGCGCTGCCTCGGTACTGCTCAGCAACTGGCAGCTGCGGCTCAGCGTGCGTGTTTACAGACACACCAGTAGTTACTGCGTGCGCCTGGCCATGTGATTATACACTGCCATGAAGCCCGGCGGCGTTAGCAATAGATCTTTTTCCCTTTGCAGCAGCCTGACCTGCAGCCGGGCTGGGGGCTGTGGTGTGCGACTTGCGCCACCTACTGGCAGACAGTGGTATCGTGCACCCCTGCCCGCCGTGCACAGCAGGAGGGTCCTGGAAATAGGACCCAAAACTTGACACCTTCACTGGACGGACCTCAGGCTTGGGCTCCCGACCCCAGGGCTCCAATCCGCCTGAGCAAGCCGCCTCTTGAGTCTCCGGTTGCCTAAAGAAGGGATCTTAGACTGTGGCATAACCTCACGCACAGTGTGCCCAGACTTGGGGAGGAGCAGAGTGTGCCCCACGATTGATTGCTTGTAAGTTTTATTTCCAGAACTTGACAACCATTGAAACCTTTGACCGTTGGTAACAGCCACTACGAAGTGAGCTCTATTAGACGTGGGGAAACTGAGTCAGAGAACGCTTCTGTCATTGGCTTTCTGTATGCAGGGGGAAAGGAATTATTGGAGGGGGGCACCAGTTGGGAAGTAAACTAGAGCACTTAGAGTCTCTTTTTTCGGGTTGTTTTTCAAAGCGAACACCGTAGTAAACATCCCGAGTGTTAGACATCCTGCCAGCAGCCTAGCCGGCCTGACTTCGTGGTCGAGGCTGGGTTTCCTGGTCCATTTCCAAGACTACAACTGCTCACCTCCCAGAGTCTGCGCGAGGCGACAGGTGGGCTTGTCATCCACAAACACTAGCGTGAAAATCTCACATGGTGACTGTCAGCCACCGCTATGTGTATCTGAAGCCCTGTGGCAGACGTTTGAACAATAATGGAAATCAGGGGATGGAGTCTCTAAGTGGGATCCCCCCCAACAGGATTATACCTAGGAACATGTGTTCACTGTAAGGCACAGGTTTAAACATTTGATTACTAGACATTTGCAATACATGTTAAATACATTCATCATGAGGAACTGGAACAGCAGATTCGTCATCTGGGTCTTTTTACTTCCTCTTCCCCTTGCTCCTCTCTCCCATTCCCAGATCACCCCATCTTCCAAAGTCTACTTCTCTGTTTCCTACTCTTACAGGAAACTGAGTTAGATAGAAATATTATAGGCAGTCAGGCAGGGCTGGGCCTGGAAGGAGCCAGTGCAGAAGATGATATTCCTTGCAACTGTCGGGGAGACAGACACCTCCCCTGTGGGCCAGGCCTCAAGACAAAAGTTCAAACAAATACACCCACATACTTCCTAAGGATAAACACAGGCACTGATAGTCTAAATAGGTCTCTATCACACTGAGAAAGCCAAGAATTACTATCCCAACTCCCTACAGCCAAAGGCCCTGTTCTGTATTCAGGCCCAGTTGCTTCCCTATTTGTCCCCAGTTTAATCAATTTTATCTCAGCAATTATATTCGTAATTTTATTGGTTGGTCGTGGTTCTGTCCCACCTCATCCCTACCTTGGGAGTTCACATTTTTTCCCATCTTGGACCCGCCTTACCATGTGGTTTTGCTCTATAAAATTCCCTACAAAAGGCAGGGTCCTCAGCAGCCCACTCAGGACCCCTTCTGTCTCTCTCTCAGACAGAAGCTTCCTTTCTCTTAATAAATTATATTCTGCTCTTAACCTCTGTTGTTCGTGAAATTCATTCTTCGATTGTTAGAGAACCCGAACTCATACCTGACATCTAAGAGGCTGGGAGTTTCTTTCTCCTATATCACTCTCATCTTTCCTTTACTTTGCTCTGCAAATTATGTATAATTTGGGTTTCTCATATAACAGAAGCCATGTGATATTTAACCTTCTGTGTCTGGTTTATTTCACTAGCATTATGGACCCAAGGTGCATTGATTTTTCTACAAATGACTCAGATGTATCCTTTATGGCACAGCAGTGCTCCCTGGAGTGTAGAGAGCATATCTTCTTTATCCATTGATCTGTCGATGGACGTACAGGCCACTTCCCAGATTTAGTTGTGATGAGCTGTGCTGCTGTAAACATGGGTGTGCATGGATCCCTGTAACATGATGTCTGTAACTCTTCCAAGTAGATACCCAGAAAAGGCACAGCCAGAGCAAATGGCATTGCTGTTTTTACTTTTCTGAGAACTCTCCACACTGATTCCCATGCTGGTTGTACTAGTTTACATCCCCATAAGCAAAACAGAAGGGTTCTTTTTTCCCACAACCTCACCAGCATGTTTGGTTTTTTGAATTCTTGATGATGGCCATTCTTCTGGAATAAGACAATCTCAGTGTTTTTTAAAATCTGCATGTCCCTGGTGATGATCTTTTTTAAAGCCACAGCTGACACACAGAAGAACCCTTCACAAGGCAACCTCCCTCATTAAGCCAACCTTCCTTTGGGAAGAAGAGTCAAGAAATGGTGTCTCAGGACCAGGGATTTAGCTCAGCAGCAAGAGTGCCTGCCTGCCCGGCAAGTGCAAGTGCAAGGTCCTGAGTTCAATTCCTGGTACCAAAAAAAAAAGGCAATGATGCCTTTTTCCTGACTCCAAACCCCACTCTCTTGTCTCTCTCTAGTAAGTCCTCAAGGGCAAGGGACAAAACTTCAGTCTGCTGCTGCTGCCACCTCCTGGCACTTTTAAAAGCCTGCCTCACCCGGAAGAAGAACTGAGGCAGGTTGCTCTGTGCGCGGTGACCTAGCAGACACCGCAGGGATGAGATAGAGCACATGTCAGCTTTCTATGCTCTCTAGACTCAGATTTTGCCCGGAGCCACAGCCTGCTTGCAGCAGAGATCTGACTATGACACCCCATAGGTTTATGTAGCACTTCCTGCCCATCGCAGCCCTGGGGGGGCGTTTGCACAGGAGATGTCTGTAGCCAAGCCCCGAGATCTGAGGTCGAGGCGGGTGTTGTGCTCCCAGGAGGAGACAAAGGCAGGGAATGTGGGCAGTATGCC